CACATGATCCTTCAGAAATCATTCTAATATGCTGGTTTGATAAAGAACAGTTTCTTATTATCAATACTGACAACAGTTGTGCCGCTTAATATTTTTGTGGAAACCACGGTACTGTTTTTTTTTTTTTTTTTCAGGATTCTTTGATAAATACAAAGTTCAAAAGAACAGCATTTATTTGAAATACAATATTTATAATGTTTTATATAATAACAGTCTTTACAGTAACTTTTGATCAATTTAAAATGAAAGCCTGTTTCCACCACAGATTAAAAAAAAAAAAAAAGCTTCCATAATTTAATGCATCCTTGCAGAATTAAAGAATCAATGTATTTTAAAAAATTCTTACTGACCCCAAACTTTTGAACAGTACTAAATACTCTATTCAAAATACTGTATATGATACAATGTCAAGACCTCAAAGAACATTTGATGACAACGAGTGTTACTTGAGTTAAAACACTTGTTTTCAATGTTTTGCCTATTGTTAATCTCTCTTCAATCCCTTCCCAGGCTCCCAGTGTAGTGGGATGATCCATAAAGAAGATGCCAGAGCTCTACAATTTCCTCATGGAGCGATGGGCATTGTAGTATCCTTACATTACCATCGAAAATCACGCTCATTTTCTTGTAATTCCAATGTTTTCAGTTTAGTGCTATTAGACTTTTTAAAGAATGTTGAAAAGTATCTTCCATATTTCTTGGAAGATCGTGGCTCTGCTAAGACAGCGTTTGACAGGGATGTAAATGTTAATGAAATCTTTACAGGCTGCCATATGTTTAAACACTTAGAGGCCGGGAGTCATGCGCTTCATGGCCTCAGAGGTCATTTGCCTTCTGCTGTTAACCTTAACCTGCTGTTTAAAGTCACAACCTGGAGTACGATTCAGGAGAGGATAAAAACCCCCGCCTGATCTTCTACAACGAGAAGGACGAGGAAGTGAAGGTAAAGGCAATGTGATTTTTATGTGCATTTGTATTATACATTTGCAGTTTTTTTCCCACTCAACACTGGATATTTTAAATGTTTACTGTATGTGTTACTTGCTGAAAAACCGGCATGTCTCTATACTTTTTTTAATATTATTTAAATATAAATATTATCATGCATATGCAAACAAGTGTCACAATCCATCACAAAACCAATGACATGATGTTTATTTCTTTTTTTAAATTCACTATTGGCTTTTGTTGAGTGTTGTAAGGGGAAAAGCAGCATGAATAATCTCATCATCTTCTCCTTTTGAGAAGATGAAAAAAAAAATCAACAAACCTGACAAGGGGTGTTTTTAAAAAAAATAATAAATGCTATGTGATTATTTTCAAATGATTCAAAAAGAAGGTAAAAATGCCATTGAGAAAAAAATAGTATAGTATTTATTTATAGCAAAACACCTAAAGGCCATTAGGAAAATTAAAGTAACAAGAGAACGGATATAAAATTATAAAAAACTATAAAAATGCAGGAAAAATTTTAAATGCAAAAACAATAAAGATGTAAAACCTTAAATGTAAAAACTAAACATAAGAACATATTTTTTAAGTAAAAACAGAATAAATATAACTAAACACAAAAATAAAATGAAAAAAAACTATTAAAATTAACAAAATAGTATGTGTTTTTTTTTTTATCTGAAAATTAATGTAAGAATATAAAATGTAAAAACATAAATATAACTAACTACAAATGTGGAAAGTAAAAAGATAAAATGCAAAAACTATAAAAAAAAAAATGCCAAAAGTGTTAAAAACAAAACTTAATAATGTAAAATGTTTTTAAAAATATGTAAGAAAATTAAAGAACAAAAATAGAACTAATTTAACTAAACATAAAAATTTCAAACAAATTAAAAATTCTAATAAAATGTAATAATAAAATGTATAAACTATAAAGAAGTCAAATTAAAATGTAATAACATAAAATGCAAAAAACTACAACTATAACTAAATTTATAATGAAATAATATGGCAATTTAAAAAAAATGACAATTATGAGATTTCCAAGTCTGTTTAGTATCTTTCAATTTCTGACCTCAGGTTGTTCCTGTGAAGAAGATGAAGGCAGATGATATCAGCAGCTTGCTGGATTCTCTGGGTTTCTATAAAAGGTCACAGAAAGGCGAGGAGGTCCCTGAGGAGTTCAAACGTTTCCCTTTAAACGCGCCTCTGTCACGGCAGAGAAGAGTCAGGATCCAAGTGCGAGTGCAA